TATATATATATATATATATATATATATATATATATATATATATATATATTTATATATAATTATTTATTATAGATTTTAAATAAATAATTATATCTGATCTGTATTGAGCACTCTTTTAAGAATATTAATTGTTGTTTATTGGAATTTATTCCGTATACACCAATCATATACTTGTATATATATATATATATATATATATATATATATATATATATATATATATAATGGTAATTTAACCACGCCATACGGACTCTCCCAGCTATAAATAAGAGCAGGGAAGTTTCCAGCAGTCAGCTCTGATTGTCGGACGGAACATTCTTGCTGTAACACTCTCGTTTGAATATGTTTGCATTACAGTTTCTGTTAATATAATTGTTTAACTCAATTCCTCTCCTGTATCTAACCCTGGCAAGGCCACAACAATATATATATATATATATATATATATATATATATATATATATATATATATATATATATATATATATATAATGGACTCTCGGTTTCGACTTGTGAGGTTCTGACAACTTAATTGATTCAGTTATGAAGTTTTGTGCGATAATCTTAAGTGGCACGGAGTTTAGACGGAGACGTTAGAAGTACTGAGTTGAAGTAGGTTTTAGAATGATCGGAAATTCTATCCAAAAGAAAAAAGCAGGGGTAACATTTTTGTCCTACGGAAAAGAACGGTGAGGGATGTGGACCGGCTATTAAGGGAATCTATCTATTCCTATTGAGGGAACAAAAAAAAAAAAAAAAACAAACTACAAAAATAAAAATAAATAATATTTTGAAACTTTATGTAGTGTAGGAATGATAACGAGAAACTAAACACATTGAAAGAAGAATGAAGAGACAGTCATGAAAAAAGGGGGTCTTTACAGAATTTTGACGTAAAATGGTAAGTCATGTAGTTTACAATGTTGCTGCCACATATAGTGCAGTGCTCCTGCTATAAATGTAGAGATTCTTGATAAAAAAAAAGAACAAAGAAGAATTAGCAATAGTATCGGACCTCACCTGTAGTCTCAGCTTCAATTACTTTCCCGCCGCTGTAATGTTGTCTATCTGGGACTTTACTATAAATATTTTCATAGCAATTGTTCGGATGAGGTTTTCACTTTGTCACCTAGACTTTTTTAATCTAAGCGCACTACTAGATTTGATTTTACTAGACGTGAGCATAAATTCTATGATAGCAGTCTATTCTGTCGGACTTCCTACTTTGGGGAACTGTCATACGACTTCCTGTTTCCCAGAAAACTTTGAACTTCAAAAATTTAAATCCATTCCCAATCGTTATCTACTGTCTTATTAATACTTTTTCTTCTATTGTTATCTAGCCTTAATGGTGTTTTTCTCCTATTCCCTAACACTCAGTAACTCCTCGCGTCTTAGTAGCTCTATTGCCTTCATTGGGGTGAAAGAATTACTGTTTTTAAATTTAGAACTGAAAATCGAAGCTGATGGCACCACCATTTGCTCCTGTTTTAATCAGCTCGATATGGTCAAATTGTAAGCCGATCTAAAAATGACCTACAATCAGTTGTTAAATGGGACAAGGAGTGGCTTGTTAATTTTAACGCCTCAAAAACGAAACTACTTTCTTTAATCGTCTCAGAGAAACATTTTTACCTCCAGGACTAACGTTTTCCAGTGACATAGAGTGGTAAGATTATATAGAATCAATTGCTTTGCTTGCAATGGAGAAACTTGGATCAACATGTCGTGCTAGACAGTTCTAAACCCAAAAATCGTTCTGGCATTCATCCTTGCTTTGAATATTGCTACTACATCTGGTCTGGTGCTCCTGCTATATATTTAGAGATTATTAACAAAATCCAAAGTAGAATCCACAACGTTATTGGTCCTGATCTGGCATCTCGCTTTCAGTCACTTACCCATCGCCGTAACGTGGGTTCACAGTTTCTTTACTACAAATAATTTCATAGACTGTGAATTTAAATGCAGAACAATATTGGCAGTAAGGTTGCATCATTTTACTGTTGAAATGGCTACATATAGACATAAGTTCTATGTTAACAGTTTCTTTTCTCGCACTTCTCGCTTGGGGAACTTTCTTCCGGCTCCATGTTTTCTAATTTTCTTTGATCTCCAAAAATTTAAACATGATATCATTCGTTATCTACTCTATTCCTTATTACATTTCTGTTGTTCTCTCTCCCTAACAATGTTACTCTTTTTTACTTCATCCACACCCAGTAAGCTTTTTGTGTCTTAGTGGCTTTACTGCCTTACTGGGGGGGGGGGGCAATTAAACAAAAGAACAAAAGTGTGGGAGATGGAAGATAGAATAAAGCATTGAAAAGACAACCAAAGAATAATAAGTAATGCGCCCGCAGCCAAAGTTTTTGTAGAAAGAACGCATGCGTTGGCCAAAGTAAGACAATATGGCAGATTTAAAAAAAAACAAAACAAAAACAAAAGTAAAGCGAGTGAAGGAATGGTTAAAGAAAATTCAGGAAATGAATGAAAAAAATGAATGAAAACAGAAGTTTGAAAAATAAGAAAGAAATGAGAGAATTAAGGAAATAATGAAAATAACAACAAAAATAATCATAATTAATTCATCGAGCCTCGGAGAAACTTAGGTTTCTTTTAGACTCGATAAATTATTTAATCATAATTATCTCAAATCCTCCTAATAATTTCTATCACTTGTATATCCTTGCTTGAACCGGCTCTAATACTCTGGATAGAGCGTCTTGGGGGTAGTAGTGGCTCGCTCGGGCACAGTCCTATGGGTAAGGGAAAACTCGGATGAGTTTCACTATGGAAATATGTGATCGAGCGGTGCTATATCGAGTCTAATTCGTTACCTGTTCGACACCAAGGCTCATTGGTACAGTTGGAATGACACTTGCGTCGTATCGTAACGGTTTTGGTTCGATTCTCTGTGGTGGATGCGCAATGCTAATGAGTCCCAAATATAGGACGAAACGGCAGTCCAGTGCTTTCTACATTCTGTTGAGGTTTTCTCTATACTCAATGAATTACTTAATTATGATTATCTCAAATCCTCCTAATACTTTCTATCACACACATTTGAACGATAACTCTAACATTTTTAGGCATTTAAAACAACATGCCTGGTCGCGTACACAATTCTAGTGAAAACACAACTATACTTAAACATGAAAACAATAAACAAAAGCTAAAATTTCTTGAAGCTATATACATAAAACAGTTGAAACTTAACCTGAACAAAATAAACTATGAAATCTCCACAAATATTCTTAAATGTCTATAATTGGTAACAGAAGCCATTGGTTTATACCAACTTAATACTTCTCGTTTTCACTCTCGCATAGTCATGTGTGACGTCATGAGCTGCGGTGCGATTTTCGTTTCCAGCGTCTTATATGCACGTGTTTATCGTTGCTTGGAAATCAACCATGTAAACAGAAACAGACTATCATCACTTTCTTGTTCGTGTATTGCCTAATATATTGTACTGTAATTGTCATCTTTGAGAATGGGTTATGTAAGTCGAAAGCTTAGATTGGATTAAAAAATATGTATCAATATTGGGATTTTCTTGCTTCGTTTAATGATAATGTTATTAAGCTTATCAGGCATTATGAAAAGAATTTACATAAAACAAATGCACAACACTATTATTTAATGAAACGTGTATATATATATATATATATATATATATATATATATATATATATATATATATATATATATATATATGATGAGTACCAAATATACAACGAAACGGCCTTGAGTGATTTCTGCATTCTGTTCAGATATCTTCTAGACGAGATCCAATACTTACGATTTTCTCAAATCCTCCTAATAATTTCTAAATACTAATAAAAAGTAAGGAATATTTAAACAATTAAGATGAGGACAAACATATTTGAAAATTCAGTATTGAAAGAAAAAAAAAGAGTGAAATGAAAGGAGAAAGAAACACGTAAATGATTGAAAAAGAAAGGCAATCAATATGGAAAAGAAAGAAGTTAAAAAAAAGAGAATGAAAGTATGAAGAAAACAAAGAATCGAAAGGAGAAAGAAAGGGAGAGGAATAAAACAGAAAGAAAGAAAGAAAGAAAGAAAGAAAGAATAGAACAAAAGAAAGGGTTCATAGAAAGAAAGAAATAATGGAAAAAGGTGAAGTAAAACGAAATAAATAATGAAATGAAAAAGAAAGAATGGAATCAGAAACGAAGAAGAAATTAATAGAATATGAAAGAAAGAAAGTAAAATAAGGAAAAATGGAATGATAAATGAAGAAATAATTATTGAAATGAAGAAAGAAAAAAGAATAGATGAAAGAAAGCAAAAAGAAAGAAAAATGAAATGAAATATGAAGAAAGAATTATTGAAAAGATGAAAGAAAGAATAAAATAAAAGGTTTAATGGAAAGAAAGAAAGAATGAAAGAATGAAAGAAAGAAATAATGAAAAAAGGTGGAATAAAACAAAAGAAATAATGGGATGAAGAACTAAGAAAAATATCTTGATAAAAGAAAGAAAAAAAAAGACGGAATAAAAAGAAAAGAAAAACGATAAATAATATACCTCAGAAAAGAAAGAAGGAATAAAAGACGCGAGAAAAAAAACCAAAAACCAAAACAAAAAACAAAAAACAAATGAATGTGGAAGCAAATAAACCGAAAGCTAAAGATATTGAAATAATTCAACTGCAAAAACAATGTCTAAAAATAAATGACTGAAACGAATCAAAAAAAGAAAATAAAGCCTCCCTCCAAAATGGGAGAAAACATTAACCGTAAGAATCCAATGTGATTGAAATGACCGTGATAAATTGTAAAGGCGAGAATCGTTTTTCTTCAATCTTTTCCCACAATCTTCATTGGTTCTGGGATTTGAAAGAAAACAAATAACGATTAGCCAATCAGCAAAAAAAAAACCATTAAAAAATCAATAAATTTTTTTAAATCAATAAAATATTGAGATGTAAAAAAAGATTGCAATGAAAGATTATTAATAGACTTTAAAGATTAAAACAGTTAATATAAAAACACTGATGCTTTATAAGAGGAGTCGTCGCTTCGAGAAAAAAATCTTCAGTTAATCTTAAAAATACATTAAAACTAATATAGTAACCATCAAAACATTCAGGATTACCTATGGTGTGAATTGACGTATCTTCTGAAGCAATTCTATCTTAACATCCATAAATGTCGAGAAATAATTTTTTATCGGCAACTATTTTCACTTTCGTTTTTTGACATTGGAAAATAATAAAATATTCTTCTGCTATATGTTGTGCAAGTTCAGTGTTGAGGTGATCCCGGCTCTCCACAACAGCCTGACTTTTCTAGCACTCAGTAGGCCTTTTAATATATCTCCTAATCGCTGCTCTTCCAACCATTAATGTCGTTATTTACATTATTCGGACTATTGTCCTCATCTTTGTCGACATATTTATTTCGCTTATGTACGCTCCGGCCTTCTTCAGGTGGTTGGAATGTCGAACTGAACCCTTTATTTCGCTCACTGGGGTAGACTGTTCTAGTTACCCGTGCCATGTTTAGTGGATGTCAGTTATCAGTTATCTCCTCCGAATGATGCTGAGAATTTCGTGGACCGAGCGTGTGAGCAACGATGAGGTCTTGGAGAGGATGCATACAAGGAGGAGGCTCATGCTTAACATCAGGAAGAGGCAGCTGAAGTTTCGGGGGTGGTGCTTAGGAATCTGATACTCACAGGTCGAATAGAGGGAAAGAGAGACAACGGAAAGCAGTGTGTGGCATTGTTGGCGGGCTTGTGCAGGTGAATGACAGAACGTGGTCTGGGGGAGATAGTAGAGGGAAGGAACTTGTTGAAATCTGCAAGGGATAGAGGAAGAGCTGGAGAGCCATGATCGCCTACGTCCTGAAAGGATATGGAACATAAAAAGAAAAAATAAACGTACCATGGCGAAGAGCTGATCTGAAAAATTATCATGAAAGTATTTATATAAATGATACGGGTGAAAAGTGACTGGCGCGAAGACACCACGTTAGAACCAATAATATTGCTGATTCTTGATTTTATCAAGAATTGCTAAATATTCAGCAAGAGGCTCCGAACATATGGTGCCGCAATATCCAAGGCATAAACAAATGGTAGACTTATAAGTAAAATAGATTCAGGGGATATAAATGATCTAATGAATATGCATACACCTGGGATCCCACTCACAGTAATATGATTGGCTGGTGTCAGCCATAAATACAGACTGATGTAGAGGTACAGGACGACGCCTATTGCCTACGCCTATAGTCTTCGCCTATTGCCTACGCCTATTGCCTACCACTACGACGAGGACTAGTTCATTAGGGTTAACTGCTAGATTGTCCTACCTGGTTACAGTAGTCAACAACCACTTTGCTACTTCGAACAAATATATCCCTTTCCGGGAAATATGAATAAATTATCTAGAGCGACACAATCAACCAACATTCATAGCAACAGACCTAATAGTGGATTCAATTTTTGTACCTTTTTTAATCTACTTCCACGTAATTTATTTAAATATTACTCACGCTTAATATTTTCCATAGGTTTATCACGAAAAAAGAATCTAAGTAAAACATGAAAACACGTTTTTTTTTTTTTTTCCCGAAATATTTTCAGCTGTTTGTCACAAGCGAAGGGTTCTAACCGAATATCAGAAAACAGCAGATTGAATTGAAAACATATTGAAAATGAAAATAGATCATGGAAAAAAATTATATCAATCTAGAAAGGTGTCATGCTAACTCATAATTCTAGTAACAGGCTTGTGCAGATCGCTTCGAATTTGTCAAAACAAAGTACAGGGTAACCGTATCTGTGCTCTCTCTCTCTCTCTGGTATTGGAGTAATGCTCGGTGGTTTTCGAACTGGGATTGCAGTAGGCAGGTCGAGATAGCAGCAGGTGTCTCCAAAAGCTAAGCAAAGTATTAAGAAACACGAAAAATCCGTTAGAAACAAGGGGAAAAGTCATGAACAGTTAATAATAGCCAATATCCACACAGATGAAGAAAATACTTGAAATAACAGATTGCTAGTTCTACAGAAGGATGGTGAGAATAACATGGGCTGAATATAGGAGTAAAACTGAAGTTTTAGAGAAAATGGAAACAAAGAAGTGACGTATAATTAACATTAGAAAGAAAGTCTTGAAATTTTTCGGGTATATTATGGGGAAAGAGGCCTCGGAAAATTTGATACACACAGGGAATTTTAAAGGCAAGAGGAACAGCGAAAAATAATGCATAACATAACTGCCGAACTTGAAATGGGTAATATAACAGAGCTTAGGTGAGAAAAAAAATGTATTAAGAACAACAAAGGAGAGGAAATAGTGGAGAGACATGATCGTTAACGCCACGAAGAGACACGGCACATGAGGGAAGATTTTTTCTTTTCTTCTATATTTAATTCTCTGATGAAGATTTAATAAAAAGGAAACATTTTAGACAAACATTTCATATTTGTTCTACAGCCTATTATATATCTATATCTATATCTATATGTATATATATATATATATATATATATATATACGTGAATATTGAAGTCAACGCATTTCCGACGCAAATATGTGTTGACTTCAATGTTCACTTTTATATTTACGCAAGCTCTATCTCTGATATTGAGCACTTTATCCCATAAATATACCACACCTTAAAACTATATTTCTTCATATATATATATATATATATATATATATATATATATATATATATATATTGGTTGTAGTAAGATGCATTCTAAATATAAGCAAGACTACATAGCCTATAAAATCATAAAGACTAATATATTCTCCGCAGTAAATAAATAAAATTAATTATATATTATACTAAATTCAATATTACTAACTTAATCATCTGCAATACGTTTTTCCCACCAATTAATTAACAATATATATATATATATATATATATATATATATATATATATATATATATATATATATATATTGATATTATTAAGAGAAATCTTATATATAAGAAACTATACTCAGAGAATGGCTCTCTAGCTTTAACTATACATACTTATATATATATATATATATATATATATATATATATATATATATATATATATATATATATATCAATTTAAATACCTTTTGGAGAGATTGCATCTCTGACAAAAAAAAAAAAAAAAAAAACTATATATGTTGGTTATACCACAAAACACGTTATCTAGAGGGGTTGCAGTCTCCACTTAGATGATTGATCATTCTTACTCAACATCTACAAAAACATTCGTTTCTACATTCATAATTCAGAAGAATATTAGTGGATAATAGCTGTATACTTCAACAAGAAAGTAATTAGAAAAAAGTACAAATTCTTGAAGATATCTTTATGAAGGAATTTAAAACCAACACCAACACCAAAATATTTATGAATATAATACAACTGTTCTGAAATGTTTATATTATACAGTTTTTAAGAAATAACTAAGTTACAACCAATAGTTTAAAAAAAAGTGCATTATTACCTTTTATTAATAATACAATTATTAACTAAGTTAACTCCCTTGCATTAAAATTGTTAAATTGACCCTTTGTTTACGAGCATATTCCAATTGTAATAATTCAACCACAAGTATATCGAAGAACTCGGAAAAATAAAAATTAATGCTACTAACCACGTTAACTTCCTTACAGGTCTTTAATCGTTAAACAAGAAATATTATATGTGATTACGAAAGGATTCTATTGAAAATAAGTAAGCACGAGCTATCTAAATTGTCTAATCAGACATGTTATATACATACATACATACATATATATATATATATATATATATATATATATATATAAAAACAGGATAATATATATATATATATATATATATATATATATATATATATATATATATATATATAGTACAGGTAATCGATCCGTTGGTATATAATCTTGGTAGATTAGCAATATTAGGTATTAAACTGATCCACATAGAACTCGATGCTTTTATTTTAACAGAGCATATGTATTTTTTACAGCAAAAAAAAATTACATCAAAATAGATATAGTCTATTTGAAGTCGTTCTGTATATGGCTATCATCAGTCTCTAAGTGTCTGCCTCGGAACATTGTTTGAAATTTATTTTCAATGTCAGTCCTCTTCTCGTAGATACCTCGTTAATGAGAGTGGATTTCTGTTAGCGATTGTTGGGGGCGAAAGGTAGCTCATCCCGGGAGAAGCGGTTTGGGTTTGGAGTTTATTTAAGGCCAGGACTTGTATGTAATTTAATATAAGTTCCTACTATGTGGTGGCCAGGAATTGTTGTTTGTTATTTAATATCACTTCCTACTCAGTGGTGTTTCTTATAAAAAGCCACAGAGTGTCTTTTTTCTGGGATTGATAGTAATATGTTTTTTACTACAGGTTTCCACTATTATTCATAATGATGGGGGAGTTAGGCTTAAGCCCGTTAACATTAATGTAAATTAGTTGAGTTATAGATTTATAGATTGTGGGTAATACCGAGCACCAAAATGGAATAAATCATATATATATATATATATATATATATATATATATATATATATATATATATATATATATAAAAATAATATAATAATGTATTTTTTTGACGTATTTTTAAAAAAAACGCCATTATTACGTCTTTATTTTTAAAACCTATTATATATATATATATATATATATATATATATATATATATATATGAATCTTCAAGAATCCTGGGAGGACGTAATCTAAGCTGCTGATCTCCCGGGCTTTTTGTAATCATGACTTTCCTGTACGCCTGTGAAACCTGGGTAATCTACTGAAAGAGACATCGACAAACTTGAAATAATCTCTCAAACGAGACTTCGTCAAATCGAAACACGTGACAGGATCAGACCACGAACAACGAAGTTCTATTCCACGAAAAGATGGTGAGGCTAGAAAGCACCAGGACTCTCCACCGACTTCGATGGGCCGAACCCCTGGCTCGAAGACCAGACATCAGCCTACTCAAACATATCCTCTTCTCGGAGATCGCATTTGGCAAGAGACTATTTGCTCCATGTCATCGACTCAAGGATCAGCTCACAACACTCCTTGCTGAGGACAGGCATCGATTCGGTCATTTGAGAGAAAGAATCTGCAGAAAGAACCAATTGGAGAACAGTCCAAAAAAATCAACATCCTTCGAAGATACCAGAAGGCAAATAGAAGAGAACCCTACCATACGATGGCTACGGACGTCTCTTCAGGACTAACACAGGAATCATTTCACACAGATAGAAATATCGATGAGGATGCCAATACGTCCCGCCAACGAGAACGATTGACAAGTAACTCATTGACAAGTAACTCCCCATTTCAAAATACATTAAGTTTATTAATTAACTAATTTCAAAGAAAAAATGGAAAGGAAAGCGTTTAGCATGACGTTTTATTTAAAATTCGATATGGGTACTAGGTTCGCTGCCATCTTTTCCAGCCATCTTGGAATCACGTCAACTGATTTCGTCAGGAACTCATTGTATTATGGAAGACATAATTTCTTGCATTTGCCCTTCAACTTTTTCCAAAGTTTGGTTTTTGTATAGAAGACTTGCTCTTTTAACAAACCGCAAAAAAAAAGTCACAGGTTGTTAAGTGAGTACTCAGAGCTGGCCACTCATACATAAAATACGGATTTGCTTTTCAATAACCTTACTCACGCACACATATACATATATATATGTGTGTGTGTGTGTTTATATATATATATATATATATATATATATATATATATATATAATGGACTCTCCGTCGGTTTCGACGTATGAAGATCTGATAGCTTAATTAATTCAGTTATGAAATTTTGTGCGATAATCTTAAGCGGCATTTAAGACCCGCTAGTGACTTACAAAGGAGGCCACATATGGAGCAAGTGTGAGGATTGTGAGATGTATATATATGTCTCAAACACTAATATTCCATGGTTATACTTTATTCCATTGTAATCGTAATCACGATCCAATTCATCAGACCTACAAATTCAAATATATTTGATTGTCCAAATCGTGTAACAGCACGTGATAATTGTCAATCCCAGAAAATATTTAATATCTAAAGAAAAACCACTAAACTAATTTAATTTTTTACAGATTTTCAGATAAGACATTTAGCCATCGTAACACCATTTGTCAAAAAAATCACTGAAGAACCCTTTGCGTTACTTAGCTAGAAAGAGAACAGGTTAAAATCCTTTAGTGTCAGCTTCACTGTGTCTTACCAACTGAACAATGGTGAGAGGAAAAAGATCATTCAGATTTTTTGGTAATAGTACTAACATTCATACTCTGGCTTCCATCTTCAAATGTCATTCAAGAACCATCAGTAGAAATTTGAATAAGTTTTAAAAAGAGGGAACAGTAGTGAGAAAAATGAATAACAGCAAGAGGCATCATCATTTCAACTGAGAGATAAATACATTCTGTAGAGCCCAATAGAATTCCAGTATGATATTTTTAATCATTTCTAAAACGCAACAGTTCAAGGCTTAATCTGACAATTAGACAATTTTGGTGTTACATCCGGTATATATATATATATATATATATATATATGAAGAAAAATATTTTAAAGAAAAACATACCATTTTAAGGTTCCATTATAATAATTTATTTCACCAGAGCCCTTTACGGATTACCAAGTTTTCTATATATATATATATATATATATATATATATATATATATATATATATATATATATATATATATATATATATATATATCCACTTCAACGATCCATGTTATTATAAAATACTCTCTCTAGATCCCACTGAAGATTCCACATCTGAACTCCTCTCTTTTCTCTGTCTCTCTCCCTATATATATATACATATATATATTTATTAAAGACATTTTATTATGTTTAACGTTGTTATTATATATATATATATATATGTATATACAGAGAGAGAGAGAGAGAGAGAGAGAGAGAGAGAGTGAGAAAGGAAATTAAAAATAGTGTGTATTAATAAAATGATATATAATGAAGTTAGATAGATCCTTTTTGCTTACTATCGTTATCAGGAGGACAATCTGTACGAGTAATAAAATATGAAGCAGCATTTGGTGCAACTGCACATGTCAAGCGATAGCAGCTGCCATACAAGCAGCGATCAGAAGGGAAAAAAAACAACAATCTCCAACAGCATTAGCAACAACTACAAAAATAAAGTAAATAAAAATGACTCTAAAAGGAAGTCAAATCAGACGGCACGATTGTATTTTGTGCGTATGTGAGCCTAAGTCCTGCATTTAAAAGCATTTCCACGCTTCTCATTAAGCGTTTCCGCCTCACTGGCCAATCTGGTCGATCCAAAGAAACGATGGTTTCTCGAATAAATAAACAAAATCATAAGGGAACAGGTACGCACACACAGCGACAACGAAAGAGACTTTGGGAGAAAAAAAAATGATGAGATGAGATTTGCGTCAGATATCTTTTTTTTTTTTTTTAGCGACAGTCACGTTCCAACACGGCCTCGTTCCCTTATATCAGATCAAGCAATGGTAGCCTCTTTCCAAAAGAAATATATTTGAAAGTAAGAAATTAAAAAGCAACACTATTAAATACGAACCTGCCGAACAAAAAAAAAAATTAAAATAAATAGAAAGGTTTTGCAGACAAAAGACCCTCACCTCTGTATGTCATTTAGCTAATGGAATATCATCTAAAAAGCATTTTTTCTCTCTTTTTCGCTTGTCAAAGATTTGAATTGGTTAAATGTTTTGTCGTTTTGAAGATGAAAAAAAGTAAATAGAAAATAGAAACGAAGAGGCTGAGGCAAGAAATAATATTTCTGCATTAACTCGTATGGAGTAAGAGCAATAATGCAGATAAAGATTTGTTTTTAGCTTGAAAGCTGCGATAGGTTAGGATGGGGGTGAGAAGATAAGAGAAATGAAAGAATTAAAACATATGTCTTGATACGAAAGCAAATGTGAATATGGAAAATATAGTAAGTGGATGAATAAAAAAGGGTGATATAAAAAGGTATGTTGACATCAGGAGAATAAGCGTAAGGAAAAGGCAGTGAAACTAGAAAGAAAGAAAAGAAAGAAAGAGTTTAAAGCACTTTTAAAGAAAGAAAGAAAGAAAGAAAGAAAGAAAGAAAGAAAGAAAGTAAAATCTGAAAACAATTGTGAAAGAAATATGCCAGACAAGACTAAAATGAAAAACAGGAAGGTGGAAATGAAATATGTGGAAAAAGATATTCAATTAGAAAGAAAAAAAAAGAGATGTTAAATAAAAGGAGAAAGTGAACTTAAAAAGATGTATCCCGTTGTAAAGAAAAGAAAAAAGAAAATATGAATGAAAAATGAAAGAGCGAAAACATGAGAAAAAGAAGAAAAGAATGAAAAAAAAAAGAATGAAAAAAAGAAAGGAAACTGAAAGAAAACAAAGCAGGTCAAAGAAGGAGAAAAATGTTGTAAGAAAAAGAAAGAAATAATGAAAGAACGAAATTATGAAAACAGAAGACAAGAATGAAAGAAAAAAGAAAAGAAACTGAAAGAAAACGAAACAGGGCAAAGAAGGAGAAAAATGTTGTAAGAAAACATGAAAGAACGAAATTATAAAAGAAAGAATAAAAGAAAGAAAATTACAAATGGTGTTGAAAGAAAAAAAAAGAAAAGAGAGAGATGGACAAAAACGAGATATTCCGTTCGAGAAAAAAAGGAAAATGCCAATTAAAAAATATATTCAGTTGTGAAGAAATGAACAATGGAAAAGAAAGAAATTAATAAGTAAAGAAATCGTGAAAGAAAGGAAGGAGTGGTTAAAGAGAGAAAATTATAAAAATACTGCTCAGAGTAACAATGAAGAATAGATGAATGAAGAATAAAAAGAATGGTTTAAAGAAAGATAAAAACGAAAGATAAGAACGAAAAAAAAAGGAAAAATTTTGAAAGAAAATTCCTTGACAGGGAATGAAAGAAAGCTGGCAAAGAAGAGAAAATACTCTCGCTAAACCGTATAGGATGGACGATAATAATCGAAAAGTTGGAATGGAAATTATAGGATGGCGGTGAGATAGATAAATAGATATGAAGAGATGAAGAAAAATAGATAGATATGAACAGATTAAGATAAATGGGAAGAGAGGGGGATAGCCATGGAAAAGGTTGAGATAGATAGATAGATAGATATATATGAATATATATAAGGTATATATACATGCATATATATATATATATATATTAAAGACATATTTTTATATTTAACGTTGTTATTTATAGATACAAGTATTTAAGCAAATGCTCTGTTTATGATAAACAGTATTAAATAACATTTACCGAATGTCGAGAAATTTTCATAGAAAATTTTTCGTTCTTTGACAGGATAACGTTTTCTATGAAAAATTTCTCGGACATTCAGCCCGGTAAATGTTATTTAATACTGTTTATCATAAACAGAGCATTTGCTTAAATACTTGTATCTATAAAAAACAACGTTAAACATAAAATATGTCTTTAATAAATAAATTGTCGGACCTTGTCCATTTCTTAATATATATATATATATATATATATATATATATATATATATATATATATATATATATATACGGAGATATATATATATATAGAGAGAGAGAGATAATGACAGAGGAATAGATAGATAGATAGATAGATAGATAGATAGATAGATAGATAGATAGATAGATAGATAGATATGAATATATACATGCATATATATATATATGTATAGATAGATAGATAGATAGATAGATAGATAGATAGATAGATAGATAGATAGATAATGAGAAACAAATAGAAAAAATAAAGATAGATAATGACAGACGGATGTATAGATAGATATATAGATATGAAGAAAGGTATCTATGAACAGATTGAAATAGATGAGGAAAAGGAGATAGAGCCACAGATATACACAAACTGTGATAGATAAAAATGTAGTGAGTGAGAGAGAGAGAGAGAGAGAAAGAGAGAGAGAGAGAGAGAACGAGGGATTGGCAGTTCTCAACGGCAAGATTTCTATACACAT